GTCACCAGCAAACAGCTAGCACAGCGTGCACGAGGCTGTGGGTACAGGCAGTACACAAAATCAGAGGAACATGGGGACCAAGGAGCTGCATGGCTGGACTGGTGGGCATCCCCTGGAGTTGTCACCCAGCACCATGAGCTCAGTTGTGCCAGGCAGAGGATGTGCTCTAGAGATGATGCTTGTTGCTGCCAGTCTTCCCTGCTTGATGGAGGCTCTTTTGGAGGCAAAGCAGGGTGTATATCCCTATTTTTGTCCTGGAACTGGAGTATTTATAGCATCCTCACACTGTTCCAATGAGCACTGAAGAAACTCTCTGGAAAGTGTTGCCTTTTTGTTGGAGTCCATCTGGGCTGCACAGTCATGTACACACATTTATGGGTGTTGACACATGTACACCCTTATCAGGGTACCCATTCCCAGCCCCCATGAGTCCCCACCCTGCTGGAAAAGTGTCATGGGGCAGTGATCAGGGCCACCATGGTGGTACAGGGACAGTCTCTCCCTAAAGTCTACTCAGGTCTAGGTGTGGGGCTGGCAGGAATCCCAAACTGAGGCCGGTCAGTGTCACAAACCATCTTTACCCAGCAGGCTGCCAGGGCAAGGGGATATCTTACTCCTCTCCTTCACTGACTGCATCAGGGTCCCCAAAACCCTCCCAGGGGAGATGCTGACTGCCTAATTTAGGGTCATCCCAGCCTTAATCCAGCGGCATGTGATGGGATCGGGGAAGGAGCTGGGCAGGGGCTGCACAGAACCTGAGCAGGAGCTGGTCAGAGAGCACAGGGACCCTGGGCTGGGGGTCTGCAGGCAGGGCCAGCTGCATGGGCACAGATGCTGTGCAGGCAGGCAAGGGGCCGCTGGAATGGCGGTGGCAAGGAGAGGGACAACCACCAAGCAGTCTTGCAAGTTGAGGGCAAGCTGAAATATCACCCAATTTCCTCTGTTGCCAGAAGCCACTTCCTCCACTTTCCAGTACAGACGAAGAAAGGCAATTGCAGCTCGCGCTCGCGCTGAGCAAAGAGGAGCACGAGAAGGTACCTGTGTCCTGCGGCCCTGGCGCTCCGCTCTCCTTGCACTTGGTCTCTCTGTGGCACCGGAGCCCAAAACATCGCCTGGCTCCGGTGCCCGCTTTGCTTTCGCTGCTCCGGGCTGTCTGCTGAGTGCTCTCCTGGGGGCTCGGCCCTGGAGGAGCTGTCTGCTCAGATGCTGGGACTTCTTGGGTGGCAGCTCCTGTGCTGGGTGTGTCTCCTGGAGAAGGTGCTGTCTGCAGGGTTGCTGAGCTCACAGGCCCCATCCCTTGTCCCTGCAGGAAGTGAGGACCTGGCAAGGGGAGAACTCCCTGCAGCAGAGACCTGTGGAGGAGACTGCCCCAGGCAGGGACGAAGAGCAAGAAGAAGATAAGATGAAGAAAAGCCAGGTATAGCACTGGAGGCTGGGTGGCCACACGGGGGTGATCCTGCAGGTCTGCCCCAGGCTCCTCTCACCTTTTTATTCCCTTCCTGTCCGCAGTCTTCTATTCTGGAGCTGGCAGATATATTTGGGCCGGCGCCAGCCCCCTCCAGCCACACGTCTGCTGACCCATGGGATATGACAGGTGAGGACAACTTGCAGGCTGCCAGAATTTGGGACAGTGGCAGAAAGTTGTCCCTTGCCTCTGTTCCTCCAGCAGCTCAACAATGAGGACCTCTGCCTTCTCTCCCTCGTGCCTACTCCATTACACTCCCAGGTGGTACTGCTGGAAGCCATGGTCTCCTGGCCACATACCCACCACTCAGCATTCCTCTGTGCTCTGCATTGTTCCCCTCTCCCAGAGTTTCCCTTTTTTTCCAGATATGAAACCCAAAGTGGAGCCGGTGGCCTCTGCCTGGAGCGGTGCAGCGGATCCCTGGGTGCCAGTGCCAGACCCTGGTGGGGAGCCCCTCTCCCAGGCGAGCGCCTCATCCCAGCAAACCCCTGCTGGGCCCTGGGACTTTCCCCCCAGCACCACTGCAGCCTCTGACCCCTGGGGGAAGGCACCGATGTCTTCTGGCTTCCCTCCTGCAGACCCCTGGGGAACAGCATCCCCCCCAGCCCCCCAGGGCTCCAATTCTACACCAGCTCCTGACCCTTGGGCTGCTGTGCCTGAGCAGCCTCCAACCCCTGGTAAGAGGCTCAATGGACCTTTTGGCTTTGCTGAGGATTGAGGACAGCCTTGACCATCACTACCCTCCTGCAAGTGGGCATCTCTGGGTTCTCCCCCCTTCAACCAGCTCCCCAAGCACCCCTTCCCCACCCTCCTGTCCCTTAGCTCATCCCTCAGCATCCTGAAGACTTCAAGGAACTTTTAGGCTTTATCTTTGTACAGAACAGGCTGCTTTAATTAACATGGCAGTTAATAGAGCCATCTGATGGGAGCAGGTGGCAGCCCCACACCCCTCCAGCAGTGGGGTGATGCTGTGTCCCATTAGTGATACCTATTTGCTCAACCCAAATGACCCTTGTACACCCTGCCAGGACTAGACAGGACCGTTGCTGGTCGCAGGTGCCATGTTGCAGATGGGGAAACAGTTGTAGGAGCAGCCTGTGTTTCAAAGCTCAGTGTCACTCTCAGTTCCCTCCTGGGTGTTTCCTCTAGCCCTGTGCAGGTCCTGCATGTGTTTCCCCCTGTTTTGGTCCCTGGTGAGGGTTGCAGAACCTGGTCTGGGGGCCAGTGCTGTTTGCTAAAGCATTCCTGCAGACCTGTCCCCTCTACCTGTCCCTGCTGGGGCTGGGAAAGGGACCTGCTTGTTATGGTGTAATGGCTGCAAGCAGTAGGGGTGTCTTTGTCTGCAATGATCTCGTGATCTAGTGCATCTAAGCCTTCCCCAGTGCCCATTCCTGACCCCCAAACCCATGCCCTGCATTGCATCCCCTCTTCTCTGACTCCTTGCAGGCAGCCACCCCTGCCTCTCTCCTGCCCTTCCATCTCCTGCCCCACACCTCCCTGCTTGCTCCCCTCCTTGAGTGTCCCCTCTTCCCCCCAGCTCCAGGGGGGAACGCTTTTGACCCGTTTGCAAAGCCGCCCGAGCCGCCGGAGCAGGAGCCCTCGCAGCCGCCCTCCTCGGCCAAGTCCAGCAGCCCTGTGGGTAAGAGCTGGGAGTGGGCAGGTGCTGACCTGTGGCAGGGAGGCAGCTCTAGGGCTGGCCAGCTTGTGTGTAGTTGCTTGCTGGTATGGCCAGATCGTGTTTCCACGGGCACTTGCTGTGGTCTCAGTCTGCCCGACAGCTAAGGGAGCAGCCCAAGTCTCTGTGTGTGCTCATGTCCCTAACTCTGCTGTCTCCCATGGTGGCTTGGGGGATACTTGGGCGGGCCATGCTGCAGGCTCAGCCCCACTGTGTCACGCTGTGACCTGGGGTGAGATGTGCTGTCAGCCACCCTGTGCAGTGACAAGGGAGAGTGCTCTCACCCTTGGTGTCTCCCAGCTGGCTCATGTGTCTCATGTCCCTCCATCTCAGAGCCCGACCCCTTTGGCGACCTGTTCCCCAGCACCAGGCAGGATGGGGCAAAGAGCTTTGACCTTGCCAACCTGGCTGACTCCCTGCCTGAATCCGGCAAGGATCGGAAGGACTGTAAAACTCCCGAGGCCTTCCTTGGCCCTGCTGCCTCCTCCCTGGTCAACCTGGACTCCCTGGTCGCACCTACTCCGGCCTCCAAGACCCGCAACCCCTTTCTCTCGGGTAGGTGCTGCAGGGCTGCTGGCCAGGGGCTTCCCTGCGCTGGGCAGGTGGTGGTGGGGGAGAAGGAGGAGGAGCAGAACTGCTGGAAGCAGCCTGGCTGTCCTGACATGTCCCATCTTCTCTTTGCCAGGTCTGAGCACGCCGTCCCCCACCAACCCCTTCAGCCTCTCCGAACAGCCCAAGCCGACGCTGAACCAGATGCGGACCAGCTCGCCAGTACCCGGCCTGCCCACCGGCCACCCCGCCAACTCCATGACCTACAGCGCATCCCTGCCGCTGCCCCTCAGCAGCGTCCCCGCTGCCACCGCTGCCCTCCCCGCCTCCGCCAGTGCCTTTCCGCAGGCTGGCACCTTCCCCGAACTCCCCAGCACCTTGCCGCAGCCTTTACTGCCGCTGAGCGGCCCCCCGGCCCCGCCGTCCGCGCCCGGGGGGCTCAACCCCTTCCTCTGAACCCTCTGGACATCTGGACATGTGGACCCCCTCCCCAGCTGTTACAATCCCCCCGATCATTCCTTCCACCAAGACTTGGGGGTTTGCTAAGCTGCACGGGAGGATGCCCCCACGCAGCCCCCTCCCCGTGCCCACTGTGGGGGGCAGCCAGCATGAGCCCCCGTGCTTGACGGGCAACAGGGGACCCCTTCCCCTGTGAGGGCCGGTGTGGGGGGCCACGGTGGGGCTGGCTGGGGGGCAGCCAGCATGAGCCCCGGAACCCCCTTCCCCTGTGAGGGGCCATGGCGGAGGCCTTACAAAGGGCTGTGGTGCGGGGGCTCCGCTCAGTGGGCCGGGCGAGTGCACGGGGTCCGGCTGCTGGATGGACCCCCGGCGTGGTGGGACTTTGCCCCAGAACAGCGGGGATCTGGGGCAGCGCAGGGCCGGGGGTGGAAGCCGCGGGTCCTCTCACCCCGCGGGGTTCGCCCTCCCTTGGCTGCTCCCCCTCACCCCCGTCCCGCCGCCACTGCCCCTCGCCCGCTGCTGGGCGCCGCTCCAGGGGCGGGGGCGGCGGTGCTTGGGCGCTGCCATGGCGGCGGCGGCGGCGGCGGCTGCGGGTGCCCGTGCGACAATAAACTGCGCTGAGCAACCCAGTGTACGCCTGTGAGTGCCCCGTGCCACTGTGAACTGCGCTGAGCGACCGCGGCGCGGGGCGGTAACGGCTGTGGGCCGGTAACGGGGCGGGGCCGGAACCAGGAGGGGCGGGGGCCCAGTGGGGGCGAGGCCGCGCCTCAGGGGCCGGGCGGTGACGGAGGAGGGCGCGGCCGGGCCGGTAAGGGGCGGGGGCACCGGGGGCACGGGGGCCGGTAAGGGGCGGGGCCCGGGGAGCTGCCGCCATGTTGGCGGCGCCGCTGCGCTGCGCCCGCAGGTACCGGAGGGGCCGGGGGGGCGGGTCCAGCCCCGGGTGCGGTGGCTGCGCCATCACCGCGTCCCCGCCACTCCGCGAATCCTGCCCGCACTTCTCCCGTGCCCCCCGCGTCCTCGCTGCAGCGCCCGCGTCCCCTGAATTCTCCTGCAACGCCCTGTACTCCTGCATTTCCTCTACATTTTCCCTGCACCTTCCTGAGCCCCTCATAGAGCCTTTTCGCAGCCGTACGCTTCTCCTGCCTTCCCCGACATCCTCCCCGTATCCCCCTGTATCCTCCCTAAATCCTCCTCTCACTACCACAGCCCCTCAGGACTTAACATACTCTGTACCTCCGTTCTGCACCCCTTTCCCATCTCCTGCATCCCAGCCCTGCGTCCCCTGCATCCCCATACCCAAAGCCCGCATCTACCCAGCAGCAGAGCAGTCTCCCTGCCCCCCATTCCCCTCATCATAAAGAGCCCGTGTCCCCCCTGCCCACATCCACTCCACGAGAGGGGATTTTCCTTTCTGAGGGGGTGTTCTCCCTGCGGACACGCAGGTCAGGTCCCGCAGATGCTGTTCTTGCATTCACAGCTGTTGAGTGTGCCCCCAAAGTGTGCTGCTGGGAGGGGCAGCTCTGGGAATGGCCTTCCCCCCAGCATGGGTGGGGTGTGCCAAACTGGAGAACAAGCTCCTCTGAGCCTCCAGTGAGTGGGAAGGACTTGTATCGTCCTAGGGGGGATTGGGGTGGACTGAACCCCAGCAGAGCTACCTGGGGCTGAGACTGTTTCTTTTGGCATGGGGAACGAGTAGTGGAGAGCAGCACCCTGTCCTGGGGCACAGCAGGACCTGGGGTGGTGGTGCTGATGCTCTGGTCTGTCATGGCTCTGTCCAAAGGCTGAGCTTTGTGGTGAGCAGGGAACCCCTGAGCCTGTTTGGTGTCACAGGCACATATTTCTAACGGGGATCGCAGCCATGGCCACGGTGGGGACACCCGGCCCCCCCAGCGTCCCTCGTCACACCAACCGCCTGATTAACGAAAAGTCCCCGTACCTCCTGCAGCACGCCCACAACCCTGTGGATTGGTAAGAGCAATGGGGAGCCTTTCCCCCACTTCCTCCTCCTCCTCTTCCTCCTCCTCCTCCTCCTCTTGTTGTTGTGTCCATGGGGCTGAGGGGCTCTTGTCTTCCCCCACAGGTACCCTTGGGGTCAGGAAGCCTTTGATAAAGCAAAGAGAGAAAACAAGCTGATATTCCTGTCAGGTAACCAGAAACAAGGCATATTTCATGTCCCCATGTGTTGGTCAGTAGATGATCAGATGAGCTGAGCTGCATCCTGAGCTGGTGTGTGATTAGCCATGTAGGTATGGGTGACCACCAAGCAAGAGAGCACCATGTGCTGGAGTAGCTCTCTCTGAAAATGGGCTGCATGCAGGACCAGAGTCCTTGGCCAGCTTTTAGGATCAAGAGCTGGAGAGTTCAGGAGACTCTTCTGCATTTCTTGTCCAGGGAGGCAGCAGCTCTTGCCCATAGCAAGGGTCCCCATCTCTGAGTGTTTGCCCCATGATGTGTTTCCTGCTCCCTGCAAAGGACCAGTTCTCACCCATCTAAGCTTGTTTGCAGTTGGCTACTCCACCTGCCACTGGTGCCATGTCATGGAGGAGGAGTCCTTCAAGAGCAAGGAGATTGGGGAGATCATGAATGAGCACTTTGTGTGCATCAAAGTGGATCGTGAGGAGCGGCCAGATGTGGATAAAGTATACATGACCTTCGTGCAGGTGAGGGAGGCACGGGCAGGGCCCAGGAGGCTTTGACTGGTTCTCTCAGGGTGTTGTTCATTGTCATGTTCCTCAGGCAAGCAGAACCAGTATATGGGGTGGTCTGGATGGGTATCAACGGTGGACAAAACCACACATCTCTCTTTGCATGAGGCTCTTGTATGTGCTGGAAGGGCACAGAGCAGGTGCCTCTTGTGTGACCTTGGTGCATATGTGTTTTGTCTTTCAGGCCACCAGTGGTGGAGGTGGTTGGCCCATGAGTGTCTGGCTGACCCCAGACCTCAAGCCCTTTGCTGGGGGGACGTATTTCCCTCCTGAGGATGGAGTTCATCGTGTTGGTTTTCGGACTGTGCTGCTCCGGATCGCAGAGCAGGTGTGGGGCAGGAATGGTGTAGCAGACAGGGCTGAACCAAAGGGAGCGCAGGGAAATTGGTCTGGACTTGAAGGGTAACTGAGTTAGGAGATTCAGTTGTGAGGAAGAGTAGCTTCCTCACAGCCAGAGCTTTAGCTTGGTTAGAAGTGGGTTTGAGCTGATTTGGGGAGGGTGATTGAGAACTGGAGGTATGGTTTGGACTGGTGCAAAGCAATAAGATCTCTTTCGCATTGCATCTTAGTGGAAGGAGAACAAAGATGCCCTGTTGGAGAGCAGCCAGAGGATTCTGGAAGCATTGCGACACACATCAGAGATCCGTGTGCAGGGCCAGGAGTCACCCCCACCAGCCAAAGAGGTGATGGGTACCTGTTTCCAGCAGCTCTCCAGATCCTATGATGAGGAATATGGTGGATTTTCCAAATCCCCCAAGTTCCCCACCCCAGGTCAGTCTGGTCTCTTCTGCTGAGACCTGCTGTGAGGCAGACAGCAGCGTGGGGGCAGAGCCCACCCCACAGCCTCCCGTTGTCTCCCTGTGTTTCAGTGAATTTGAATTTCCTGTTCACGTACTGGGCCCTGCACCAAACAACTCCAGAAGGTGCCCGGGCACTGCAGATGGCTCTGCACACCCTCAAGATGATGGCCCATGGGGGCATCCATGACCACATTGGTCAGGTAGGAGTAAATCTTTGGGGGTAAGCCCCTGTCATGGCCAGGAGGTGTGAGGTGGAGATCTGAGGTAGAGATGTCTTCACATGTTCTGTGCAGGGGTTTCACCGCTACTCCACTGACCAGCACTGGCATGTTCCTCACTTTGAGAAGATGCTGTATGACCAGGGGCAGCTGGCAGCCATGTACAGCAAAGCCTTCCAGGTATAGCTTTGGCATCCCTCTGTGTGGCTCCCACTCCTGCAGGCTGCAAGGACTGGCCTGGTTTGAGGAGCAGCTTCAGATCCTGTTCCCCAAGATACTCCCCATCCCATGGGTGTGGAGCAATCCAATGCTCCCCTTCATCTCCTGTTGTTTATCCAGAAGTGCTGCACAAACGTGTGACAGTGTAGCCCTGGGGCTTTGAGCATAATGGGGGAAGAAACAGCCTTTGGGCTGGTTTTTGCAAGTCAGCAGACAATGCTGCTGCCTCTGACCTTGGTGTAACTCCAGCATTACTCTCCACTGCCCTTTGTAGATATGCAGTACTCACTGATAGTAGATTTCTATTGAAGGTCTTACTCTGAATCTATCCTTCATTTAAAATCCTTGGATTTTCAAATGCTCCTTGCCAATTCTTCAAATTGAAATCTCTCACCATATCTTGCTATGTCTCTTGCCCCCTCCCACCCATGTAACACTGATGTCCACGCTGTGTCTCACACAGATCTCTGGTGATGAATTCTTTGCTGATGTTGTCCGAGACATTTTACTCTACGTCTCGCGTGACCTGAGTGACCAGGTAGGCTCTTCCCTGAGCTGACCCAAAGGGAGCCACTTGCCCTACGCTGGGATGTGGCTTGGGGCTGGTTTTCCCTCCCTTCCATCCTAGCTGAGTTCAGTCGGTAGCACTACTGAGGCTCATTAGCCAGACTGCCAGCCCTGCAATGATGGGGAGCTGGCTGAAAGTGTTGTCCTGGAGCTGGAGGATCTCTGTGTTGCACTTTTCCCAGGCAGGAGGTTTCTATAGTGCAGAAGATGCAGATTCCTACCCGACCTCCACATCTAGAGAGAAGCGAGAAGGAGCTTTCTGTGTATGGACAGCCAAGGAGCTCCGGGCTCTCCTCCCTGACCCTGTTGAGGGGGCCACAGAGGGGACAACCTTGGGAGATATCTTCATGCACCACTATGGAGTGGAAGAGGCTGGCAACGTGGACCCCATGAAGGTGAGGGAGAGCAAAGACTTTCCTGGTGTCAGGAGCACTGATGAGAGAGACCTGCATCCATTGGCATGGAGGGATGGCAGAGCAGCCCCAAAACACTCAGAGTCCCACACCTCCCAAGTCTGATGGCATTTCTAGAACATGTCTCCCTCTCCCTTCAGGACCCCCATCAGGAGCTGAAGGGAAAGAACGTCCTCATTGCCCGCTGCTCCCCGGAGCTGACAGCAGCCCGGTTTGGGCTGGAGCCAGGCCGGCTGAGTGCCCTGCTGCAAGAATGCCAACACAGACTGTCCTCAGCCCGGGCACAGCGGCCACGGCCACACCTGGACACCAAGATGCTGGCAGCATGGAATGGTGAGGCTGACTGCTCTGAGGATATGCCTTGGCTGGACCCCCACCAGGGCATGGTAGCAACAGGTCCTGCTGGGACTGAGAAGCTCCCACAGAGGCACTGGGTAGGCTGTGACTGGGACCTGTGATCAGAGGCTGTGTGGAAGCAGCCCCACACCTGCAAGCCTTGGGAGCATGGGGATACTGCTCTGGCTTTATTTCCTTCCCCAGCTGCCAGCAGAGAGCAGCAGAACTCTTCCCCTGACTCAGCTCAGCTCATCTGGCTGGGCTGTGGGGAAGGGGTCTGAGCTGGGGCCCCAGGACCCTGGTGGGTACAGAGCCCATCCCTACTGCTGCATGGGTGAGGGATCACAGCACTGTGTCTGTCTGGGGGTCCTGCCTCAGGGAATCACTGCAGGACCCCCAGCTCCGTTCCCAGCAGTAAATTCCTGGGTGTTTGGGTCTGGAGCTGGCATGGGCTGGAGTTGCCCTGCAAACTGGAATAGTCTTGAGCCCTGTATCTGCCCAAAAGCGAGGGCTCAGCTCTTGCTGGCCCTACAGTACTCTGCCTATCTCTTTGGTGACAGTGAGTGACTTCATTAATGATTGGAACTGAGCAGAAGAGCTAAGACCTGACCTGCTGCCATCAGGGAGGATGAGCTTCACGTTGAGCCTCCTTCAGAGAACTGACTCTGACCCTCTCACCAGTTCCGTGTGCCTCCCTGACCTGTCCTGCTGTCTCTGCCTCTGCAGGGCTGATGATCTCAGGCTTTGCCCAGGCTGGGGCTACCCTGGCCGAGCAGGGATATGTGAGCAGGGCTGCACAGGCAGCTGCCTTCCTGAGGACACACCTTTTCGACCCCGACAGCGGGAGGCTGCTTCGGAGCTGCTACCGGGGCAAGCACAACTCAGTGGAGCAGAGGTGAGTATCAGAAACTCCACAGACTTGACTGGCCACCTGCAGGTGCTGCCCAGACCCCCAGCAGTCCCTGTCCTCTCTTCCAGGCAGGACCTAACTGGGTGGGAGGGAGGCTGTTTGTTTTGTATAGAGCTTCAGTGCAGTTTAGGAAGGATTAGTGTCCCCCAGCCAGTGAGGAAGAATTGAAGTCAAAACCTTTCCTGTTCCTCACCTTTCATGCTGGCAAGTGTCTTCCCCTACCTTCTCCTCCTGTACAGAACCCTGGGGCTGAGTTGTGTGATGGCCACAGCCATTGCTTTGCTTGGTAGCATCTCCTTGGGTATCAGAGACCAGTAAGCAGGGCTTTGCTGGGTTGGAGAACATTTCTAACCTGCTTTTCCTTCCCTGTGTGCCACTACAGTGCTGTGCCCATCCAGGGCTTCCTGGAGGACTACGTCTTTGTCATCCAGGCACTCTTTGACCTGTATGAAGCCTCACTGGAGCAGAGCTGGCTGGAGTGGGCCCTTCATCTCCAGCACATGCAAGACAAACTCTTCTGGGACCCTAAAGGCTTTGCTTATTTCTCCACTGAGGCCAGCGATCCCTCTCTGCTCCTGCGTCTCAAGGATGGTGAGCTCAGGGACCTGGCAGTGTGTTCCATGGGTTGTAGTGTGGGAGGACAGGGCTGATGGCAGATGATGGTGAGGCACTGGGCTGATGGCAGATGTTGTCCTTTGCAGACCAAGATGGAGCAGAGCCCACTCCTAACTCTGTCGCTGTCACAAACCTGCTCCGAGCAGCTTGTTACTCTGGTCATATGGAGTGGGTGGAAAAAGCCGGCAAGATCTTGGCTGCCTTCTCACAGAGGTTGCAGAAGATCCCGATAACCCTCCCAGAGATGGCCCGGGCCACTGCTGTCTTCCATCACACCCTCAAACAGGTATGGGCTGGGGCTCATTGTCCCCTGCAGGACCTGCTGTAGGAAGTGGGGCTGGCAGTGGCATGGGTGCAGTCACAGCTCTGTTTTCTCCCTCCTGCCATCCCCCCTCCCCCTGGACAGGTTGTCATCTGTGGAGACCCCCAAGGAGAAGACACCAAAGAGATGCTGCATTGTGTCCGCTCTGTCTTCAGCCCAAACCAGGTAGAGGTGCTCCCTGCCTGCCAGCCCTTCCCTGGTCTCTGCTGTCTGCACTGCTGGTGTTTCATCCCTTCTTTCAGTGCAGTTGTTGCACCCATCCTCCTCTGTTCTGCCTCTCTTCTGGGAAGCATCCTGTCCTTTTCATTTCTGAGCACAGCCACAGGGCCATGGCTGAGCCCTGCACTCCTCTCCCTGCACACAGCATGGGCAGCCCAGCCGAGAAGTGGCTGCAGCAGTGGTTGTTATTGCTGCTGGCTGTTTGCACTGCTCTCAGGGTAAAGCCCAGTGCATTCCCAAGGGGAAACCTTTCATTCCGGTGTGAATGTGTCATGCCTAGTGTGGATGTGTCATGTCCTGTGCAGACCCAGTTAGCATCTGGGTCACCTGCTGCCTGGAGACACCCTTGCATCCTTGGAAGGGATGAGGCAGTGCCTCACTCCAGTTCTGGGTACCACCAGCTGGGAGATGCTGGCTTTTCCCAAAGCTCTTCTCCCATCCAGCAGCTGTTGATGTGTATTGGGGTTCCTGCCTGATCTGCTTGTCCTCATCTCTGCTTTGGGTGTATCAGTGCATCTCACAGAAGGACTGGAGTTGTTGGCTGCATCTGGAACTGGCAGGGAAGGGCAGCAAAGCAGCTGGTGCCCATCAGCTTTGGTGGCCAGTGTCCCTGCCTTGGGAATGATGGCTTTGACCTCAGCAAATCTGTGGAGCTGAGGGAAATAGGATTGGGCTGTGAGTGAGGGAGCTTGGTGTTTGGATTGGATTCATCCCTGCCCATTGGGCCCTGGTGCCAGGGACTGGCATGTTCAGTCTCAGTGTCTGGGGAGTTGAAGCCCAAGCACCACTTTGCCTCTGTAACCCCAACTAGGATGAACTGGGGAGGGCTGAGCCATCAGCACAGAATTCTCTGCTCTGTACTCTGTTAGCTCAGCCCACAGGGGTGTCACCCCTAGCCCTCTGCCCAGTGATGTTTGATGTCAGCATTGGAGGAGGAGGGACACATTCCAGGGGCAGGAGTGGGGCATACAGCTCTCTGTCCTTCCTCTGCCATCACCCATCCAGCAGCACTCTTGTTCCATGCAGGTCCCTATTTTGTGTGCGAGGCCTCTGTTCCCACACTCGACCTCTGTCCCTTTGAAGGATTACACTGGCTGACCCAGTTTGCAGGAACAGGAGCCCAGCACCACTGTTAATAACCCTCTGCCCACAGCTGTTCAGCCCTTGGTCCCCTGAGCTCACGCTGCCATTCTGGGGTCTTGAGCAGAACAAATAGCACAGCCATATCCTCCTCTCCCCTGCAGTCTGGCTCCCTCCTGCAAAGCTGATAACAAGCCTGGCTGGTGGGGCTGCTCCTTCCCCAGGGGAGGATCTTTCTCTTTCAAGCTTTTGCATTCCTTGGGGAAGAGAGAAGATGAGGGCTGGGTATTCTGGATGGATATTTCCATGGGGGAGTGAAGCCATGGTCATGCCTGCCAGGGCTGCTTGCAGGGGGCCTATGCTTTGAGGGGCATGTGAGAGGCTGTAGGTGGGAGCTGGCAGCAGGCAGGGTGGGAGTGTAGCTCTGTTTGCCCCTTGTGTGTTCCTCATGTTGCGATGATGGGATGGAACCAAAGCTGTTGCAGCTTGGGTTTGTTTCCTGGAAGAAGAATTGTGGCAGGAGGGTAGAGCTCTCCCCCAGAGGAGCACGTATCTCCCCTTCCCCAGGCATGAGTGTGCAGGAGTGGTAGGAGCATGATCTCTGGCAGTAGCAATGGCTCCTCCCCTTGCAGAGGTGATGAGAGGAACGGGGGAGAATCCCACTTCTCAGGGAGTTGCACCACCTTTGGGAGCAGCCCACTGCCTCCCAACAGCCGTCCCTCCTTCCATGGTGCATCACACAGAAATGAGCATGCTCCTGTTCCCACCTGCCTCCATTGCCCTCCAGCTGTTCCTCACATCTCCTTCCCTGCCACGGGAAGCTGCCTAAGCAGAGCAGCCCTGGGTCACCTGCTCCAGAGACATGGCTGATTTGGGAATTGCCTTTGCCAAGGAGTTGGGGGAGCATCCCTGTTCTCCTGCGTCCCCATTCCCTTTGTGCCAGCAGGGTGCCGGGAGCCAGGCTTGTGTGCAGGAACACAATTAATTAGGTTGTTTCAGTAATTAATTCCTTACAAACTTCACCCTGAAATCCTTGCTGTAACAAGATGCTAATGATAGAATTGCATTGAGGTTGTGATTTTAAATGGACCCTGGCTCTGGAGTAGCCCTTTGCTGCAGGCAGCTCTTTGGGGATGCAAGTAGGGGTGATGCTGAGAGCTGTTCCTGTGAGTGTCCTGGTGCTGGGAGCAGAGAGGGTTGGTTCCCTGCTCTGGGGCTGGATCCCAGCTGCTGGTATAGATCCCTGCCCTGTTAATGGTCTTTAGGGTAATTATGAAGGATCCCATTATCTCCTCGGCTGCAGAGCACTCGCCTGCCACTTGCCTTCATCCTGGCCCTGTGAGAGGACCTTGGGGAGCTTGTGAGAAAAATGAATAATGAATTTCAGATTGGACATGAATTGGTAATTAATCACTCCTGGAATTAATTCCAGACAAAGGCAGAGGGGGAGGAGATTGGAGGGAGCAAGAGGCAGGCAGGGAGACAGGCTGAGCCAGAGCTGGGTCAAGCAGATGTGGGGTGATAGTGGATAGAACAGGACTGCAGCAACCACTATCCAGGGCAGGCACCTGGGGATGTGGTGCCCCCCTGGGGACACAAGGGTGTGGGCAGCCCCTGCCAGGCATGAGTGAGGCTGTGTGGGTGTCTCTGGATGCCAGTGCTGGGTCTTCTGCTGGCTCTGGTGTAGAGGATGCTGCATGCCAGGTGAGCAGTGCCATGGTGGGGAGATGTGTGTGCTGTGAGAGGCAGCATTTGGTGTCAGCATCCCTTGGTGGCATTGGCATGAGTAGTAGGGACATGTGGTGAGTGTGTCCATGCTCAGCAGACACATGCAGGGCTTGGATTGGGGCGGGCAAGGGACAGCTGTGTGCTCCAGCAGCAGGATGTTCCCTCTGTGCCTTGGGAAGGACAGCCTTTTGCTCACCCTTTGCATCTGTGTCAGCATGAGGCTCGCTGCCAGCTCCTGGCCTTTCTCCTGATTAGCCTGTAAGCCCCGAGGCTTTAACAAACATTTTCCCTTTCAGAAAAGCTAATTATCCTGGCAGCCCAGTCATCACCTCTGGCTGATGCTGCTGTGTCAGCTGGGAGAGCCCCTGACCCACTGCTCATTGCTGCCTGAGTTTTTCTGGGAGGTGTGGGTAGGGCAGGAGGAGCTGGGCTGCAGGTCAGATGGGGCAATGCTGCAGCTGTTTGTGGGGCTGTTCTTTGGCTGGGTAGGTGTCCCCAAGGAGCTGGCTAGGCTGGGATGTGCCGATCCCTGTGCTTCATCCTGGCTGCCGAGTGTTTGGTGTGGTTAGGCTGCCACATCTCCATCAGGCTTTTTTCTGCACTGGTATTATAGGTGTGAGGACCCTGGCAGAGGGCTGGAGTGGATCCCTTCAGCTGCCCATCCCTTCTCCATTTTGAGAGAGTGTGTGGGGGGACACTGCCAGCCCTCAGCATGTCAGTGGGGCAGGAAGGGGCAGGAAGGACCAGCTGGCTGGCGCTGCCTGTGCTCTCTGGCTCTTACAGCTCCTTCTCTGGACAGGTGCTGATGGTTGCAGATGGAGACAGCGCTGGGTTCCTCTACCGCCAGCTGCCTTTCCTTGCATCCCTGGAGAGGAAGGATGGGAAAGCCACTGCCTATGTCTGCAGCAACTTCACCTGCTCCCTGCCTGTCACCTCTGTCCAGGAGCTGCGTGGGATGCTCAGCCCATGAGCCCCTCAGTCATGCTGCCCGTGGGAAGGCAAGAGTGGGACAGACTGGCACGGGAACATGGGAGAACCTCATAACAGAGGCAACCTGAGCACCATCCCAGATGGCTCCTAGCAGTGCAGTGGGGCTGTGCTCTTCCTACCTGCAGCAGGTCAGGGTCTGCTTGCATTGTTGCTTCAGCAGTGTCTCAGCACAAGTGACCGTGGTCCTGGGTCCTGTTTCTGGTATGTCCAGGAGACACCCATGGAGGAGCATCTCCTGCCTCTGTATTCATGCTTGCTTCTCACCTCTTCTTGCTGAGGAAAAGAAAACCGAATTAAATATAAATCCAGTGTTAATGGAGAAGTCAGATGGGAACACTGTTAGGGTTCCTATAGCAACCCCGGGTAACACTGTCAAAAGCACCTGGATGACTTGGGAGTCAAACGCTCTTAAAAGTGTTATTGGCTACAACAGCTGTGGTATTTTTCCGTTTCAGAGGAGATTGTAACATACATTAACTGAATATATAGTGCATGGAAAAACCCTGCTGATTACAACTAATGTAAAGTTTATCCTCTCTTTCCTCCCCTCCTTCCTTCCTTGTCCTCCCTGCTTCCAAATGGGTGAGTACCAGGTTTTCAGCATCCCTCTGACACCCTGGGCTCCCCCAGCACAGCACCTCACACCCCAGCTGGCTGGGTGCTGTCATCTGGCAGCAAAATAGCACTGCCCACTGGCTTTCTAGTGGGTTGTGCCAGGGTTTGGGAGTAACTAGCCAGGAGAAATGCCTTTGAAGTCAAATCGGAATTTTGCACTTCATCTGAGTGAAGGGGTTTTATTTTCTCTCCTCTCTTGGTTTTAAAAGCCTGAAGTGTTTCTGGAAATCCAGCTGAAAATTGCTGGTTTGGCAGATGTCCGCCTACTTTCTTCTGGGGTTTTTTGCCATCTTTTTTTTTAAACTTGGCTTCTCTGCTGTGGGGATTGATTTGACACCCGTCCTCAGAAGTGCTCAGAGTGAGTTGGTTTGTGTCTGCTGGGAGAGCGTCCTCGGAGAGCAGGGCTGGTGCTGAGTGCCTGTGGGGAAGCCCACAGAGATGCCACAATGGCAGTTGTCCCCGAGGTGGCACAGGGCTAGGGTGACATTTTGGTGCCCACCAGCCCCTTGTGGCACAGACACAGGGTGCTTTCCTCCCACACTGTGTTACTTGTTGGTGTCTCTGTGAGCAGCCCCCAGGCAGAGCTGTGCTGTGAACCTCTGTCAGGATGAATTGGCTTCACCTCTCAGTAAAACAAAACAAAACAAAAAAGAATGAGAAGTTCTTTGTGATGAATAACTGTTGTTGTGGCACCTCTGTCCTCCCAGTGCCTTTGCCTTGCTGCTGTCCCTGGGTGCTGGTGGCTGTGTCCTGTGCTTCCCACAGTCTGCCTGTCCGTGGAGCCACCCCTGGGCTTTATGACCATAGCAGGGAGTGGCTTTGCTTGAGTTCCACTGCATCTCCCCTACTGGACCCCTTGTACCCCTTGGCCAGACTCTCAGCTGGTGCACCCAGGGGTGCTGCTCTTCATTGGTGGCTACAGTTTTTACACCCTCCCAGTAGTGCTTCCCGTCCTTTCCTGTCACCAGCCTTCTGATTTCATGGCACGTGCTGTTTTGCTGCAAGGCTTGTTTTCTGGGGCAGTTACCAGGAGACAGGGCTGGTGGGTGCTGCCCAGCCTAGCCAGGCCCTCAGGAGGATGATGGAGTGGGATCTCTGGGCTCAGGGGTCCTGTGCCACTTCGCAGTGTCTGTTTCCCTGATCCCTTCCCGCATTCCCTTTGGTGGCACATGCAGAGGCTTTCTCTACCAGTGCAGAGGCTCAGGGTGGCTGGAGGCAGCATCCTGTGCTCCCCCACTCCTCTCCAGCTGCAGAGCTGTCAAAAAGCTCTCCAAAAACACATCAGATAACTCAAGTGCTGGTTTTCCCCACAAACACTTGGCTTTGCCATCGGGCTGCTGCAGATTCACAGGGAGACTTCCTCCTGCCCAGGGCTCTGGGCTGACCTGGGAGCCCCAGCAGCCAGGGATGGGGAGAAACGGGTTTTCCCTTGGCATCTTTTTTGTATAAACACCTGCTTTAACATTTAAAACTTACACTGGGGGATGTGCAGGGCACCCCATTTCTCAGACCACCAAGGCAGATGGGAGGCCTGACACCCACAATGTCCCTTTGTGGGGTCTGGGACACATGGGGGTGATGGGGAGGCAGCATAAGCAGCCACCCTTGCTGCGCTAATGAGGCTTTCCCTCTAATTAATATTCCCTGGAAAACTCAGCGCTGGTTCTGGATCTCTCAGCTTTTATCTCCTGTGGCATTGAAGTGACATCAATGGGAAATGGGCTTTGAAAGCTGTTTGTTGTGGGGGATGTTGCATCTGTGGGAGAAGGGGAATGGAGAAGGGAGTCCTAAGCCTGGATCCTGCTCTAGTGTCAATATCCCCCTCTGAAACATTTGTGGGGGTGCAATTTGCAATGCCTTTGAGAGGGTAGATTGGGCAAAATAATGAGGTTTCCTAAGATGAGCACACAGTTAATTCATACTTGAGCACCCACGTCTGGCACAGCTGAGCACCCCATTGCCACACACCTGGATAGCCAAGTAGCACCTGAGCACTGATCTGCTTATGCCTGAGTGGACAATTAACTCCTGCCTGAGGGTTATTTTGGGCATGAAGAGGCAGGTTTTGGTAGTTGGCTGCTGCAGGAGGAGGTTTGGAAGTGCTCCTCAGTGGTTGCTCTGAAAGTGATTAAAAGGCTTCACAATGCTCCAAAATATCAGGGGAACCTATGACAGGCAGGTGCAGGGGGGCAGGAGATGTGGGGCTGCTATGAGGAGTCCCTCCAAAGCTAATCCTGTACTGTTGAGCCCAGTTCTCCAGTATTCACCCAGAGAGAATTTGCACCCAGCAGGCTGCCATGGTGAATCCCCTGAGTTCCAGCCTCCTCTCCTGGGTAATTTGGGGTGCTTGCTGCAGTCCCCTTGCAGCAGGATGGGGGTGGGGGTTGCACCAACCCTCCTCTGGCATCCCATGGAGCTTCTGCAGGCAGTGGAGGGGGCTGGGGGACTCAGCAGCTCCTACTACCCTTCCCAGCCTCAGCATTTGCCTTGCACAGATGTTCACACTATCCAGCTCCAAGTAATTCCAGTGTTCCTGACAAGTGAATTTGCAGCTGAGGCTGGCTGACACTTGCTCAAAACATGCTTCTTTCTTTTTAAACTGACCCTCTGTGCAGATTGGTGCCATGGACCAAGTGGACACAGCCAGGCTGTGCTGTGGGGACTCTGTGGGGGTGTCCCCTGTGGCTCAGCTGCTGCTTTAGTTTCCCCTCCCACAAAAGCGTGTCCTGGCCATTTCTATCCAAGTCCTATACCACCTCTGCATGGCCCTGGAGCATGTGCCCTGCCTGGACACTCCCAGAGCCCCTGTGTGCTCCAGAGATGAGCAGAGCAGCTCGCAGCTCTCCCCAGCTTTTGCAGGTGCACTGGCCAAGGCTTTTGGGGACTGTCATCCCCATGTAATGTTCAGCTGCTCTGAACAGGCTCTGCACCCACAGGCCAATGCTTAGAACCAGTTTACCACTTGGAAATCTCCCGTTCCTGCCTGGCAGCTGCAGCAATCCCACCTATTTCTCAAGGGACTGCCAACCTTGGCTACTGCTGGGAAGGCAGGGAGGGGTGGGGAGGGATGGCTGAAGGCCCTGTGGCAAAGCAGGAGCCATCAGCACCAATTAAGGGTTATGTGATGGACACTTGGCCGTTGCAGGCCAGGGCAGGGCTGCACATGGCCATTAATCCTCCTTTATTATAGTTTTGGTGTTTACTGACTGTGGTAACTGTTGCATTAAATCAAAATTAAATGTTTATTTGGATTTTATGAAAGGACTGAGGAGGATGTCCAGGGCGGAAGTTGCAGGTCTGTGGGTGCCGGGATAGGGGAAGGGGTTTTGGGGTGTACAAAGGAATCGGGACTGCAGCGGAGGGATGTCCTTGCCATCAGTGTGGGGACATCCCCAGGTGCTGTGCCAGGCTGTCAGTCCAGGTGAGGTGACAGTGGCATCTCCACTGCCTTTGGTGCTTTGTGAGCTGCTAAATTAGAGGCTAGAGATGCTAAGGGCTCCCAGGGAGCCTGGGCTGCTAATCAAAGGGGAACAGGCTCTGCTTTCCATCTGAGGTTTTATCCAAGACTCCAGGAGGGCTGAGGCTGCTCCTCTCCCCATGGCGGGTGGAATTAACTCCTTGTGTGCTGCAGCCTGGCAGGAGCAAGTTGCAAAATTTCATGGTGTCACCTGAGACTAAGACCACAGGAATTCTGAGGCCTGGGGAAATCCAGAGCTGGAAGGCAATGCCTGGGCTTTGGGGCCAAATGTCCTGCTGGAATCGTAGCTCTCAGCCATAGTTTCTGGCTTCAGCATGGATGTCCTGACACAACTTCCGTGGTTCCTCTGGGCTGATGCCTGCTGGCGTGTTGGGAGTTTTTACCCATAGAGGAGAAACCTGAATGTCTCTGTGTGACCCAGCACTCTCCTCCCTGTCCCTAACACCCACGAATCTGGGACAGGCAGAGCCGGGCTCGCTGCAATTATCCATGGATTAACGGCAGCTAATTTAGTTTGAGTCACAGAAGCTAAACTGGATCGATATGGGGTGAAGAGTACAAAGGAGGAATCAATAGGAATGCAGAAATCGGGCCGCACATCCCTGTGGGATGACGCCTTCGGGGCTGGGACAGCGGTGCTGCCTGAGTGCTGTGGGGCTGGGAACGGGGGGCAGGCGGTGCCCGGGGCGGTGCAGGCCGGGACGGCAGAGCTGCAGCTCAGCACAAGGCTTCCATCGGCTTTGTGCAGCTCGGCAGAGCGGAGGCCGCCGTGGCAGGCCGAGCTGCGGCTCTGCGGACTCCGGGCCGCGGCTGTGAGGGGGCCGGGGCCGGGGCCGGGGCCGGGGCCGGGGCCGGGGCGCCCCCGCTCTCCTGGGGACGTCACGGCCGCCGGGAAACTGGTTGGATGTTCAACCGCGATTTGGATACGAGCTGGCTTGGGCCGCCTGCAAGGTGTGCACCAACGAGGCATCCTCACAGCGGGATGGAAAATGGGGATGGCCCAGTGACCTCTGGGGTTTCTGTGCTCCCGTGGCCGCCAGTGAGGCTTCGTCTGTCTCCCTCGTGTTGCCTCATGGCCTGGCAGCAGGGCATGAGGCAGGGTCTTTTTTCATAGCTGACAGCTCATGAATATTTATATCAGCCTATTAAAAATGGCCACTACATCCCAAATTAGTCATGGGGCCCTGGATAGAGGCAGGGTGCTGGGTGCAGTGGCACTGATGTCACCCCCAGCTCTCTGCTCAGATGACAGTGGCATGGCCTTTCAGCTGGGATGGGACGGAGTGAGGGATTCCTGTCCCTCTAGGGCTGCATGAGCAGTTCTCAGGTCTTGCCTTTGGACTGGACCCTGCTCTCTCGTGCGACCCTCTCGTCCCTCCTGGGAGCCTGCTCAGGGTGCTAACAGCACCCAGATTTCTACTCCTCTTGGTTCATCTTCCTCACCATCCTGTGCTTTAAAACATAATTTAGTGGCTGTAAATGAGGCCTCCATCTACTGCTGAGGGCTGTGGGAACTGCTACCCCCACCACGTGCTGGGAATGTGCTGCCTCTGGGATGCAGCCAAAGCAGGTGTGTTTACCTCCCAGAAAAGAAAGGAAATCCATGTTTTGGTGAACAAATAGAAATTAAAAGGCAAAAAGATGGAGATAAAGTTATTTCCCATCTCCTAAGGGGTTGGCAGGGATAATAAAGAGAAGAATCTAATTTAGAAAGAGTCTACAAAGACAGAAGTGCTGGAGGCGTCTTGGCTGTAGTGTGAAGCTGCAGCCTGAGCATCAATGGAGCAAACCCATGGTGATGGGATGTGCCCTGGCAAGAGTAGGTATCCCCATGGTGTTTGAAAACTCTTCAGCCCATGAGCAGGCTTGGCCAGGGGCTAAACTCTGTCTGGGGAAGGGTTCTTGCTTTGCTTTCTGTGGCCACTGCTGGCGAGGAGCTCAGGGAGGGCCCAGTCTGGGAGGCAGGATGAGGAGGAGGAGGAGAACCCTGTGCTGCGAGCAGGCAGGCAGAGGCAGTGAGGCAGAGCAAAAGGAGACAAGAGGCAAAATTAGGAGACAATTAGGCTGGAAACACACCCCGGGGAGGGAAAGCACTGAGCATGGCTGGGTTAACCCAGGTCAGTGCAGGGCAGAGGTTCAGTGTCACCATCGCTGTGACTGCAGTGCTTTGGCAGAGCCCCCAGAGGGGAATGGGGTGGAGGGGACTGCAAGGGCCTGGCGTCCTTTGAGGCTTGCAGATTGGAGAATCACAGGCAGAAAACCCCTCTAGGAAGGTGCTGTTCTCTCTCCACCCTACCTCCCAGTCCTCCTGTCTGCCATGCTGCTCTGGGCTCCCCCATCACACGCTAATGGAGGGCCTGGATACTGCCACTAATGAAGGGCCTTGGCTTTGGTCACCACCACAGACCCTTGCCCTGTTTCTGGATGAGATCCTTGTGGCAGCAATGAAGTCCTTAAATCTCTTCTGTCTCCCAGGAGAGCCAAGGGGAAGGGCTGCAGTGCCGTGAGGGTCCTGCCGCCCCCCCAGAGCAGTGCAGCCCCCAGGCTCCTCCTGAGCCCCATCTCCATGGCAACACTGTGGATGCCTCTGCTGGATATTCCTACAAGGCCGTCTAAGGGGAATCCCAGCAGCCTGGGAACTTTGGCAGGGTCAGGGAGAAAATGCCTGTCTGGGTTAGGGGCATGCCTGTCTGCCTGTGTGTTCTGTCCACCCACAGCAACATCCCTGTGGATATTGCTCAGAGGCTCTGCTTGATCCCAGCAGCAGCCACTTAAAACTCAGTCCATGCAACCTCTCCAGTGATGACGAGCATCTCCCAGAACAAACAATTGCAGAATTAACCCCAAAGGCCTTTCAGCCCCTAATTTTCCATCCCTGACCATGTCCTTAGCTTGGCCTTGATGAGCCAAGGGATAGAAAATCCCAGCATTTCCGTAACATAGCACCAGTGCAGCCTTTGGCCCTGATACATATTTTTCCTTAACATCTGTCTTTCCTTTTTACTGTGGTTTTTATTACCAGGCACAGTCAGATTTAAGGAAACATAGCTAAGGCACGAGGGGCTCAGGAGTTCTTATGGTGCACTGGGAGGAGGAAGTCTGGGGCTGTTTCAGGTGAATGCATGAGCTGGTTAGCAGAGAAATGGGATCCATCCTGCTTCCCTGAGGGTCTCCCTCAGGACGTCTTAGGGCAAAAATCAGCCCTGCAGAGGAAACACATTGCTGTGTTGTTGCTTGCTGGCTGGGATGGAGGTGTCTTGAGGGGGCTGTCCTCCTCTCAAAGCTGTCCCCCTTGCTCCCCCAGGCTATGCACTGGGGAGCTCAGGCTGTTCCCCTTCATTTGTTGTCATTTATCCATAATTTAGAATGGGATTTAGTTATATTCTAATTCAGTTTCATGTGTCACAGCATGTCTCAAACAGAAAATAAAATATTTAACAACCTCCACTGGTAATAAAGATTCACATTTGCCTCATTCTGGTTCACAGTACATGAATATTCTGCACTGCACTCCGCAGGTATTAACTTCATTCAGATTTCTCCCTGGTTATGCAATATAACAGTAATGACAGATAGAAGCCAGAGCTTAAAAAAATTATAATCAAAACCAACAACAACAAACCAGTTTGATGTCATTAACTCCCCTCAGTTGGTTAGGGGAGCATTAATATGTTCCCTTTCATTGCTGGCTCCTCTGTGCATGCAAATGTTCCATGTCTGCTCACACTGTTATGGGCAGGAACTAGGGCAGGAGAAGGGCAGGGGCAGCTCCAGGGCTGGAAGAGCTCTGGTCTGGGGGAGCAGGACCCAACTGGGATGAAATAAAGCCAGGATTGTGTCTCTGCTGGAGTGGAGATGTGGACTAAAGCATCACTGGTCCTTGCTGGGCCGGGTCAGGGCTGTCACAGCTGGACACTCAGGTGGTGAAATGGGTCAGGCTCATGGTGGGGGGAAACCCTGGGTGATTTTTGGGTGGTTGCTGGTCCCCATGAGGGTGAGCTGTGTCTGTCCTAAGCAAAGAGGACCTGGGTACTGTGGGAAGGTAGATCATGGGGAAGGTCTTGGGACTTGCTGAGGATGACTGAGTGCTGTAGCCAGGTCTGGTGTGTGGGGGCTTGCCCAGGGCTGTGCTGGGGAGATGAAGCCACTTGGGACACAGTTGTGTCCAGGCTTTCCACTGCAACAACTCTCCAGAGGCAGATGTTGATGCCCTGTGCTTTGCTGTGGGGCTGCTGGGGGGTTGGTGTGGGGCACCTGCTCGTCCTTTGCCCCATCCCTGGGTGGTGTGAAAACTTGGGCTGTTCCTTGGAGAGCTCCCATGGGAAAGCCTGGGGCTGTGATGCCTTGGAATCTCCAAACCCATTCGTTACCCCAAGAAAAGGGAGGATGGAGGACGTACTGGTGTGGTACTGGTGTGCAGAGCATGAGAAGGGGCACAGGGCTGGTGCTGGACTGCCCTGGTGGTGTGGAGCTCCTCAGCACCACTTTCCCTTGTGCTCCCTGCACCATGGGCAGCCCTGCCCTTCTCCCACGCTGCCAGCCTGCCCCACCCATGGGAATCTCATTTTGTCCCTGGTGCTTCTGTCCGTGGGCAGCCCCAAACCAAGCGCTCCCCTCGCAGGGTTAACCCCAGCGGCAGAGCTGCTGTGCTGCTGCGGATTTGCCAAGGCAATGATGATTCATGCCGGGGAGAGGCCCCACACAGGCGGTGGGATCCAGCTAACACGTGTGGCACTGGCTGAAAGCTCCCAGGTGCCACCAGCGCCTCCCCACCACACTGGCCAGGAGTTGGCACATGTTATGAATAAGAAGCTTGACTAGACCAATATTCAAGCAGCAATCAATTTATTATTTAATATGGTAAAGTATGAGCAACACAGCGCTGGCTACAGTGGGGGAAGTTTTCCCTCCAACTGCACACCGATAATTGATGGTTACAGGTATTTATAGGGGTACTCATCAGTTTTTTTTTTCAGCAGTTTCTATTTCCAATTTTTACTCATCAGCAATTTTTATTCCAAATTATTACATCAAATTCTATACACTATTGTGATTTTAATTTCTCAGCATGAATTTTCAAAGGAGTATCCCCAGATGGTGACGGTCCAGTTTCCGAAAGAAGAAAGACGAATCCCATCTGGTGGGGTCCAGCTCCCCAGATGTGTGTCCACGTTTAATTGCAGAGACTCTGAATCTCATAACAGTGATGTCCAGCTTCCCTTTGGTCGAAACCATAAACCCCTGAGGTGATGTTCATCTTCCTTTCTCAAGCTGTTTTTCTCTGCTTCAATAAGGCGTGAGATAAGCATATTTCCTTTATATATATTCCAAAGCTATAGTTTCAAGGATACAAGTAATATTCTAAAATTATACTTCAAAAGGTTATTATTGCAGAGCTTTTTATGGATTAAATGCAAGCAAAAAGCAANGCTGCAGCGCTCCGTTCCACAGGGACTCGGAGTGGAGCTGCTGGGGACCATCTCTCCCAGGGCACCGACCGTCTCCGCTCCAGCTCCCCGGACACACTGAGCGACCCTAAGCCCGGTCTCTTCCCTTGTGGATCGGTTTTTCGTTCTTGACCCCGTTTCTTGCCCATTTTAGCCTCCCTGGTCCTTTCCCTGAGGTTTTGTGAGACGGGTGCAGTGTGGAGGGAGGCAGAGGTTTTGGGGGGTTGGTTTGCTGCCCGGCTCCAGGGTCCCTAAACAATTCCGGGTGCTTGAGGCCCGTCCAAGGGCCCATTCTCGGCCCCATCCCCGGGGGATGCTCCTTGCCTGGACGGGCTGGGGCAGGGTGGGGGTCGTGGTCCCGGGCGGGCATTGGCCAAGGGCGGCTGTTTGTCACATCCTGGGGTGAGCCACGGCCCCCCAAAGACTTCTGATCTTCTTCCAAGCTCCCTGTCTGCTCTGGCACAGGCCGAGCCGCTTTAGTCAAGTTTAAGCTTTCAAAAGGGGAGGGGGGGGGGGGGGGGAAATAGAGGAGACAATAGAAAAATTTCTTCTTTCACAGTCTTGGTGTCTTTAAAGCTTCCCTTTGGAGTTGAGTTGCAACCAGCACATGGCTTCCGCATGGCTTCTAGCATTCCGAATATTTTACCATCGCCAAATTCCAGCTTCATTTATTATTTGTAGAAACAAAAGCCCAAAATGAAATAAAGTGAAGCGATGTGGCTTCCAGCAGGGGCTGGTGCAGGAGAGGCTGCCTGGGGAGCTCCCGCAGCCGTGCTGGGCTGCCAGCAAGAGGCAGGCGAGCAGTGTGGGCAGCAGCCCCACATCTGGAGGGGGAGAGGCTGTGCAGCAGCACGGAGGACATGTTACACGGTACCGAGCACCAGAATGCCTTGTGCTAGTCCTTCTCCACTCCTGGTATGCAGGAACTGTTAAAGACTACATCTCAGCTGATGGTGAGGGTCTGCTGGAGTTGTGAATATTGTTTTACTTGAGCTTCAGCAAAGATTCTCTGAAAAACAGGCTGCCTTCTCTCCTAAAATGTCCCCCAAGAGGGAAAAATCCAAGATTTCTCTTCCCAGTCATGAATACCCTCAGCAGCTTCTCTACAGATCTCTTTCAGGCCAGCTAAGCAGTTCAAACTGCCTTTATTTAAACATAGGAAATCTAACAACTTTGTGAAGCCTTCTGTTTTGGAAAGAAATATTAATGACAGGCTGCAAGTCAGTGTGCTCTTGTGCCTACTACGACTATTAGTATTTATGATTACTGGTTTAAATATGTTTCCAAGTATTTATGGGTTTTTAACATTTTTTTAAAAATTTTTAATCTTTGACATGCAGTTTTGAATCTGATGTTAACACCTGTATGTTTTAGTGTTTTCAGCAAAGTCCCCCACCCCGGTAATGGCTTGAAATGTGTTTTCTCCTCTGTGGCTGCAAAAACAATCTGATTAACTTTTGTCCTTGGAAAATCAGTGGTATTGTGGGCACCTGCAAACACCACTGTGAGTCAGGGATGAGCATTACGTGCAGTCCCACTAGCTGGGATTTTTGTCACCCATTTCTCACTTGTTACTGACAGAGAAAGGATCCTGCTGGGAGTCCTGGGGCCACAGGGGTGATGCTGTGGATCTTTGAGTCATGTAAGCATGCAGCTGGTTTTTTTCAGGGTCACTGACCCAGAATTGGGGGAGTTTATTTTAAAACAACAAAAACAAACAAACAAACAACAACAAAAACCAGTTCAGCCTTCAGATGGGAGGAACACAGTAGCTACTTTGGTACCTGCACTGTGTCCCATCACTTGCTGGGTTGCTCAGAGCAGCATTGTCTTCCTCATCCCTTTGCCTTTCTGCCACTCTGGTGCTGGAGCTGAACCTGCTCGTGTTTATATTTATTACTTTTTTTTTCTATAGTGTGGTGGCCCTTCTCAGGCTGTAACCTTCTAGGAATTGTGCCTCAGTGTTAAAACCATGTAATCATGTTGCTGGAAAGTCTTTGTTGCCACCAGCTGCCCTGCAGAGGAGTGACAATGCTTTGGCTGAGTGGGTGGTGAATCCTGCCCCAGCTCTGGAGAGTTTGGAGCTTTCACTGCCTTCTGCCACTCCCTCAGGTGATTTTACCTTTCTGCATTGGCTCCTGCAGAAACTGGATGGGAGGGCTCTGGTTTGAGCTGTGCTTGTGGCGAGGCAGAGCTTGCGGCGTTTCCAGGCAGATTTGCAGTGTTCTAATCTGACTGATAAAATTTACTGTTGATTGGGCATCAGGAGGAGATACAGGACCCACTCTTGCCCAGGAATGACAGTCTGTGCCCCTGAAGTGCAGCTGGAACTCCTGGGATTCTGCTCTAAATCCCTGTCCAGGCAGTTGGTGTGACTGTGGTACCTGAGGCCTGGTTAGGGGAGGGTGATGGTTGAGGTGCTGAGCATCCAGCAGGGATGCAAAGTCCTGTTGATGTGGTTTTGGGGGTTTTCTGCCATGTTTCTGTCTAGAGCATTCTCTGCCTGGACCAGGAAGCTTTTTCTCTTGCTGTCTGGGGCAGAGATGTGGGGCAATGTGTTGCTCTCCTGCTCCTCCTCTCCCTTAGGTCTAGAAAGAGGCCATGAAGTTTGTCCTGATGCAGGAATTTTCCAGAGCCTGAAACCTTGGGATTTTTAACTCTAAACATGTACCAGATGGCCAACATGTCTTCTCCCTCCACTCCATTGTGGTCTTTGAGTGAAAACCTCTCTGGGAGCCACGAGGAGCTGAGGGGACGAGCCTGGGTGACAGCCTTCATATTCCTGGTGGCTCTGGGGTGGAAGGTTCTTTCCTGGTTGAGAATTGCCTGGGTCAAGAGGGAAGAAGAGCAGGGACAAGTTCAGTGGTCACAGTGCTGGAGCCACAGGCTCAGGGGTGGGAAGGGCTGTGGCACATGCAGGGTGTCCTGGTGTGTGTGCTGGCAAGGCCGTGAGAGGAGAAGCAGGATTTTCTGAGGGGGAGGAAAAAGGAGGCAAGCTGGTTACTTGACTTTCACTTGTAAAATGAAA